TATTAAAGCTCTAAGGATTTGAATTTGTTTTGAGTAGTAATAGTATGTGTTATGGGCATCGTTATCCAGCTTCAGACTCAATTTGTGAAATTAAATAAATAACTTACTAATATACTGTATCACTATTATTAATTATCTACCATTATAAATCAACTTATTAGACGTGGCTCTTAGGAAATTGTGAAAAATTAGCCTGATTTTTAAAATGTGAATATGAATTACATTTTCATATCACAGCTAAAGGAACAACATCACATAATGCCTACATTAATCATTGCTTATTGTATGCCTTCGGAGAATGTTATCAATCTTATTCCCACATCTGTGATGAATGTAATACCATATTTGAATTTTTTGCTGAATTAAAAGATAATTCTGAAAATGATGTGCATGAGGAATTAGCCGAATTGCAAGATCAACTATGTTATTACATGGCTCACCAGACATGCAAAGTCTATCTGAATAGACAATTTAATGCAAACTTGCTAGATTTGAATGAGAATAAAGCTCTAATTTTCGTAGATTACAAGATGAAAATATTACCTAAATCAGCTCGAGAAACAAAGTAAGATTGGTTTGGAAAAAATGGGTGAACACTCCATTCAGTGTTAGTGTATACAATCCATAGTAGTTCAACAAAGTTAAAAGTTCAGGCATTTGATCACTGGTCCGCAGATATGCAACAGGATTCGTGGTTTACTGCTTCATCTCTTCATGCAGTAATGGAGGTGTTAAAAAACAAAGTAAAGTCAGTAATTATTATGTTAGATAATAGTAGTCATTACCACAATGCAGATCTTATGATAATTATAGGCTATTGGCCAGAATAGTATGGAATTCAAGTAGAAAAATGGGTATTTTTGAAGGCTGGAGAGGCTAAAACCATGATTGATTCACACTATGCTCAGGTAATAAAAATAATCTCTTGCATTAAATTAGTACTTTTCTAACAAACCTGATTTATTCAGATATCTCATGCTATCAATCGCTATGTACGTTTGGGATTTGATATTTCTGAAGAGCAGAATATAGAAAATGCTATTCAAAATATTCATAGTACTTCTGTAACAAATTTAAAACCGAATCAAAATAGAAGTTAGTTCTAAATATAAAATCTACAATAATGTATTTATATAATTTAGAGTATTCTTTAAGGATGTAACTTTTTACAAGTAATAAATAAAATTAAAATCATTTCTATTTTCAAAAATATCTACTGTTTATGTATCAATGTTTAAATACAATGATAGCAAGTAATGGGAAAAATTCTTTGCCTAGTAATTCGAATTAGTTCGAGTGGCAATGGTCTATTATAGGAAAGTTTGCTGGATGTATTTTGGCATGTGCTATTCCTAATATCAGAAATTGGAAGATATTTTCACCTGCAGACTTAGAGAAATTATGCAAAAAGGACATTCATAAACCCAACTCAGAGATTTTTACTCATACTACGCATTGTTCTAACTAGAAAATACCTATTCCAAATGCTTCATGTAAGTTTTTATTTATTAAAATGCACCAAATATTTTATTTATTCTAATAATAATCAATTTTGAAATATTAGACTTTAATTCGACACGTCTTAATAAACGAAATTTGATAAAAGAACTAAGCTTGAGAGGAATAGAAGTAAATAAAAAAGAAAACAGAAGTATACTAGTATCAAATTTGGAGATCCAGCTAGAAAATGATATCAAAAATGCTAAACTAGATAAGCAACTAGTACAACAGTTTTATTGCTAATTGTGCATTTATAATATAATTATTTATAATATAGGTTGTGATATAAACTCTAGTGTTTTAGTAGAAAAAAACAATATGAGTAATGATAGGTATAGCAAATATGTCTAATTCAACACTTTAATAACATATACTTACATAGATAATATTTAGTGCGAATACTATAAATTTTCCATTACTATTAGGATGGGCATTAAAAGAGAAGCAAAAATATGGAAAAAAGAGAGTTGGAAAAAGAATTGCAAAAAAAGTAAGAAAAATATTTGAGTGATATTTTCTAGCTGGTGAAGCAGACAAAAGTAATCGCTATACCGCGCAAGATATGTATAAAGCTCTTCAGCAAAGAGTACTTGAGAGTAAAATTAAGGCCGAAGCTATTCCAAAAGTATCTACTATTCAAAACTGAATAGGCTATTATACTTGTCAATATCATGAACATGCAGCTTAGACAGGTATAATTTGACAATTCTAAAATATAAATTGTAATACGAGTGTTAGTAATAAAGTTTTATATAGTATTGTATATTAAATAATAATTCATATGCTTTAGAGACATTATGAACCCGTCTTTTGATTTTATTTTTTTTTAAAAAAATGTTTTCTATTTAGAAAATAAGATCAAAAAATGTAGATCATAATGTCTCTAGTTCTAATATTATATTAAAATGCACAAAATAATGAAATCACGAGTTAGTTTTTATCTCAGAATCTAGTGTTGTCAGTAAATAACTTTTTTTATTATTATTAATTAAGCGAAAAAAATCAAAACAGCATATTCTTAAAGTTTTGCATATACATTCTGTTATATATTTGGTATAAACAAGTTTTTCGTTGGTAGTATTATTTTATACCCAAAAACTGCCAACTGCTAGACTTTTCTTAAATGATCTACAAAATTTTACCTCAAATAATACTAATGATTTTTATTAGTTTGAAGGCGGATCATGAATTAATTTTATTAAATCACAAAATATAAATATTACTTTTTATAAGGTCTAAGCCTATAGTGATAATGAATTTAGTAATATATCAGACTATTTAGCCTTACACTATTCACTTTTAGGATTTTTTGAATTCAACTATACAAATTACTTCAACAATTCTTACACATTTCAATAGGAAAATTTCTCTATTGAACAACCAACACGTTAATTTATCAAAAACATCTGCAATGCTTTTACAATTGCTATGTGGTCCTCATAATTTAGAGCATAACTTTGGAAACAATTTTCAAAACAAGTTAACTAGAATATAACTTGAACTGTAATTTATAATAATCTTTCATATTCATCTAACTATACTAATTACAAACTGAGTAGAATCAAAACCTTCTGAGTTAAAAATCTCCTAAACAACCTTTCTACTATATCCCACTATATACTAATTATCCAAATATTATCAAAACAAAATAATGTATCTCTTGTAACCAAACTGATGATAATATACATTAGCTATTTTGCCCAAACTCACAACTAATCTTCGATATTATTAAATCAAATATACAATCTATTTTTACACTAGATAATTTTAATATTTCATTATTACAACTTATACATCTTCAAAACTCTTTTATTAATCACTATTTCTTACAATCAGTACATGAGCAATTATGAAAACCCTACTATGCTAAACTTTCTGAATGAAAACAAACAAATAATATTAAACTTTACAAACAAAATTCTCGAACTAATACTATACACTATATCTATTTCTAACTTACTATAGCTCTAGCTCAAATGAAGTTAGTTGTATATGCAGATATTCTAAAAAATAATATAAAAACTCACTCTGTCCTTCAGAAGGACTAGTATACTATAAACTTTATATTTGGTCTATCAAATGGATTAAATATAGTATTCTAACAAATAACATAATTAATATTTAAATCTAGGTGAGTCATGACCACTTTAGTAGGTTTAGATTACAAATAAATTAGTCTAAGTTTCAAATCTTGCTATATAGTTTAAAATTATACCTTGTATTA